ATGAAGGAAAGAAGGAGAGTTGACAATTTCGAACAGTAACTCTTCAGTAGAGAGGAGAGCTTGGAAATTGATGAAGTCACCTTAAATACATACAGTATGTTCACGGGTGCTAAATGTAAGCATGTTGATTAAGAATATCTCCAGTTCAAAGTAAACACAGTTTCATTCACTAGAGCCATCCTTTTGTATTTTACTCACCAGAGTGAATGAATTGGAGGCCTTTCAGAAGATCGATTTATTAGCCTTAATTTTTAACTGTAAATGCAATCTGTTAGTTTCATTCGTTGGAATCGTGATTCAGTTATGACAGAAGTAAAAATAGTTGGAATGTTTGATGAAATCATTTTCAGCAGAAAAATTATGATGCGATGATCATACGATTTCAAGTCATAGAGTTTCAATTGTTTGTCCTCTTTCAAATGATCAAGACTTTAGTAGATAATCTCAAGGTGTCACTGCTCAAAAATAAACCCAGTTGGGTGTTAAGCTCCCTTTAGAAATCATTGGAAGTCCCCTTTTAAGCTCACCGCACCCATCTCAACCCCAATGCTCATGCGCAGGCTAGTTCAAATAACAAGCGCCTCTTTCTCATATTGGGTCGAAGTGTATCGCTTGTAGCGGTCTCAAAATGTAAAACTCACCTTAGAAACAAGAAACGGTATTCGTACAGTAAACATGTAGTGTGAACTATGATAACTTTCCTTTCACTTTCTTTCCGAACCACATCCAACTCGTGGCATTTCGTGGACAATTATAGTTAAATTTTCCTCAACTGATTTGCCTCCAATCTGCCATTCCTCCAAATGGACTAACTTTTGGCTCATATACTGGGGCTGTCTATTGCTAACGCCAACAAAATGCACTTCTTTTAACTCTTACCGTCTGTCACTAAACCACAGGCTTGGAATAGAACACACCTTTCACTCGTATCAATTGACATGCATCACAATGCACTGCGACCTCGAATGTGCACTATTAAATTGACCTTTAAGCATATTTTCATGGTGACGGGTCATTCCATTTTGGCATTTTCCTTTTTTTCTGCTTAACGTGATGCCACACTATTCATGGCTTCAATTGAATTGTACTCTTTTCACTTCTCTGTTTCAAGTTCATTTTAAATGTGATACAGACTTCTGGCGGGCAAATGAACGAAACTAGGAGTAAACATGCGTAGTTGGGCTGAAAAGATGTAAGAAATGCGTATGATTTTTGGAGGGTGGGGGTGGGGGTGGGGGAGTTTGAGATTACCACGAACTCTTGGACATGATAATAATGAATAACTTTGCTGAAGGTGTCATTTCCATGTTGGTTACTATCTGGACGTTTGCAATTTCATTTGAAATCAGTACAAGTGCGGATTGTTGTGGAAATGAACAAAATTATGCAAATGTAGACTTTGAAAGAAAAGGCGTTTATTTATTTATTTAATTTGCCTGATAGCACGCTTGCCTAAGATTGACTCTATTTAGTCAACAAATTGAAAGACGTAAAGAAAAATTACGAAGAACAAGTTATGAAAACTAGACCAAATTTGTGTGAAGACCTAAATGGAAACCTTTGTATGTATTTCGTGTTAAAAATTTTTGTGCATGGTAATTTGAATTACCAATAAAATAATCACTTAGTGCAAAATTTTGCGAAGTGTAGCCCATTTGAAAAGCGATTATTTATCACGTATTGGGAAATATATCTAATCACTGTATAATTGATATATGCTTGGAATGGACACATAAACACACAACAAATTTCTTTTACATTGTCTGCATTTCAAAAATGATGGAATGTTTGAAATATTAAGGAATGGTCGGTAGGTTACATCAAGTGTTCCAAAGAAATAAGAGGCAAAGATGAGATTCAATCAGACAATTTGTATCCGAATTGATTCTGAAATGCAAAGAAGAGGGTAAATTGCAAATCTTAAAAACCTTGTTAGTCACAGAGGTAAAAGAATGCCTTGGCAACAGACAACTTATACCTTGATGTGACATGGTATCAATTGTCCATTCAAATGTGCTATGTTGAGATTGTAGAGTTGATCAATATCAAGAAAGGTAGCTTTGCATTCCCAATCATTTTAAGAAATAGCTATTCAAGTTGTAATCCTCATCACCGTTCCATAGTCACTCCACGTTGTGAGTGGGTACTCGCTGTGATTACTTGTACTACTGGCCCTAACAAGTAAAAAGTGGAAATCTCGGAGGAGGCTTTGACTGTCCATTGCTTTGAATACCTCAATTAGCAGAAAATTGGCTAAATTCAATGCTCCCCCCCCCTAAACAGTGAAAGAGTGTAAGACCAGAACTTGGTGTAATATGATGCTTAGAAATAGGGAACTTCAATATCACACGCAAGAGGAATGAAGCAGAAATAATTTTTGCCATTAAAAGAAATGGCAAACTTACATCCTTGGAAAGATCTATCCGGACTTCCGAATCAATTGGCTGGAACTCAAAGACATCCATCTGTAATGTACTACTAGATGTTATCGGAGGAATCGGTGGAGCTTCAGAAATGTCTTCTTCCTATGGAAATGGGAAAAGAAGTTTCACTTCATTCTGGTAGTTTCCCATTTTCTTGGCGCATTAACGTAATAACATTAGTCACGATTCAAGGCATTCATGATTTAAACAGCACCTTCTAAATTTGCTTTTCTCGCTACATTTCTCACTCTGATTGCTTTAATTTACTATGCCAAGACGAGCATGAATGAAGGATATGCACAATAAATCACTTACGTCATTTCCACCTTCATTTTCTAAAAGGTTAAATAAAAATGGTAGTTGAATGAAAAAATGACCAAATGAAGCTTGATAGCTCGGTTTAGTGGTGGCAAATATCATTTCATGTTATGGGTGAGAACTAGCTCAGATCATGATAGCGACTCATGAAATCTTAATGCCCTAACGTAAATTATGTAATCATGTCTTCAGTGAAGGTGGAAAACGTCATATTGAATCGCTCTCCACATTTCCGTAGGTAATTCCACTTCATCGGTGAGATGTCTGTTAGAAATATGGAGGCTTGACATCCAGGAATTTGTCCCTTTCAATCTACCTCAAAGATGCCTTCAATTTCACTTCCCATGACAATTTGAATTGCTGAGAAATGGCTTTGAACATTCTCGACTCCAGTGTTGGACACATATTGATTTGATCAACTCAGTTAGTGGTCTTATGATTAAATTCTATTTTCTTCACCCTCATTAGTGAATGAGCGCAAGCCCAGATCTTTGTGAAATATCAAGAATCGGAATAGGACAGTTTGATCCAAATTGCAACACGAATGAAGGGCGAATTACGTAAAATATGAAAATTAATGAAAGCCGACTTTCCTGATGTGTTATTTGATGTCATCGGAGTAATTGGTGCAGCGTTAGAAATGACTGCTTTCTATGGAGATGAGAAAGAAAAAGTTTCATTTCATTCCGAAACTTTCCCACCTTCTTGGCGCATTAACGAAATAACATTAATCACAAGTCTAGGCATTCATGGGTATGAAATGCGCTTTCTAAATTTGCACACTTGATAAAGTTTTCCCAGGCTACATTTCTCGTTTTGATTACAAAAATCATTAAAACTAATACGATTTGATCGTTCTATTCAACTAGTTGCTTCATTCAATACAGCAGTTAAATATAAATTCAGGTAGTCATGAATGAAGGAAATATGCAAATGAAACGCTTACTGGTTCTTCGGAGTTGTTGTCTAAAAGGTCAAAGAGGAAAATTGTATTTAAATGCAAAATAAATGCCCAAATGGAGAAAAAGTGTGCAATCTTATTAGCCTGGTAGCAACGTGTCTCAGAGTACATGTGGCAATAAAACTCTTCCAAGTGACATGCTCAAGAATTTGTCAGCCGTAACAACAAAGCTCTACACTCAATAAGAATCCCATTGTGGGTGTGATGAGCTCATCCTTTTCAACTGCTCTATGTGGAGCCATAGTGAAACGTCCAAATGACTTTGCGATGTGTCTGTTTAGGAAACGACGTTTCCACTTCTCTAAGACAAAGTCTCACCTCGCAAGTTCAGATATTTAAACGAGGAATAGGCAGAGGGAACTTGTTTTGAACTTGAATCTTCCAATTTGGCTCCAACTGCAGCCTTGAACAATCCAGCATTTTTTGGAATCTCAATTGAGTGATAATTATTCCTTGTTTGACACGTTTTCAGAACTTTGTTGTTGTCAAAGTTATATATAATTTCGTAAAGTAGGTCTTTTTGTTCTCCATTCTTTGGAGGCAGCCATACTAACTTTACAGTTGCATCAACCTTCCTTAATGTGACATAAATTGGAGCATTTGGACCTAAAACCAGAAATGAATCCATTAATAATTATTGATCAAAAACTGACTACAAAG